ACGACCCTAACAGCAGGGACTTGAGTATGATTTTCAGTGCAATACTCAAGTCCTGACTTGAGCATTGAGTAGAGTTCTAGAATATGACCCTTAGTCTTCTATTAAAACGTCATCAAACGTCATCGACGTGGGCGTACGGATTGGATTATTTATGATGAGATTTATGATAACCTTTGACAGTATCTTTCAACATTACTATCTTAATTAGATTCAAACGCGTCACCTATTTACTATTTATCTTGAAACAAAATCTTTTGAACTTTGTGATCTATTGTTAATGTTGCATAATGTAGAGATCGCATATCAGTCTAGCTAGACGTCTTCATGCGCTAACGGCAGCTCAAACTCAAAACCCAAATAATGTTTAATTCATAGGTAAGCAAATTACACTTCAAATCGTCTTACTGCTCATTCGTAAGGCAGATTCCCCAGAGAACAATGAGCAACAAACTCTTCGTAAATATACATTCGTACACGTTTGTCATTCATGTGGAGATATGGACACGTAAGAAGCAGATCTCCCTACTACATTGGAAATGCCGTGACAGATCTGAAGAACTCTGGGTGCAGAAAACGAGGAAGATCGAAGATTATATAGAATACAATAGAAATCATTTATTTTCTATAATATATGTTATATGGACCGATCATATCGCCAAACATTTAAGGAGCTGCCACGACACATCCAACAGAGCAAAATGGAGGTTAGGCACACGAAAAGCAGACCCCACCACGACCCCACCATCAGATGGGAATAATAAAGCTGAGGAGAAAGAGTTATTTTTAGATATTTATCATTAACAATATTTATTTCAAACATCACAGATCGAGACTACCTGAAAGAGCTAAATGAGTCACTACCATGGATTTTTGTCATCAAATTGGATTGATTGTTGTCAAATAAGTAGAAGCTGTAAAATACCTTAAATAGGTCAATGCCTTAAATAATAAATTTTTCGTTTCACTATAGTTTTAAACCTTGTGAATGAATCAACCGGAATCTTGTTATAGAAGCTGATTCTCGGACCCTTCGATATTCTCACGTTTACGAAATAACCTGACATCCTCAATGTCTACCGCAAAAATCATTGAAATTTCTATTGAATTAATTAAGTGAATAAATATACATTACGTACGTTGCTCTGATCGCAAAGTAACTAGCTAAAGCACTTGTGTTATGGAAATCGGAAGCAACGACGGTACCACTAACACCCAGACCCGAGACAAGATAGAAAAATTAGTTTTCCACGCTGACCCAGCCGGGAATCGTACCCGGGACCTCAGAGATGACCACATGAAAACTGGTGTGCAAGTCACTCGACCACGGAAGCCCGTCAATTAATTTATTGATTAATGTAGAATTAATTAATAAATAAATGTTGCCAGACAATGAGCACTACAGCAACGGAATTCACTCCCACTACCCAGAAAATCTTGACCGAAACTAATTTTTTTTTAACGAACACGCACACATTTATAGCCCCGCACTAAAGAAACCCTGTGTCGCAAGTGCCATGGACACGTATATAGACAACCACAAATTATACCCAAACTTACAAGACAAATAAATGTAGGCCATACAAATATTTCTCCCGGTCCGGGAATCGAACACGGGACCTCTGCGTGAAAGACCAGCATAGTAAACGTTCGGCCACTAATTCCATTTCCAATGTGTAACAATCCCGAAAACTTTAGAACTCGATAAATAAAATAATAGTTTATTTTCTCATGCAAGGAAAATAGATCTTTATTACAGTAGACTAACAATATTAAATGTTGTACCTTTTGTGAGAGACTGGAGACCGTACTAGGCAACTAAGCCTGTATTACAGCTCACCAGGACCTCACCCTCTAAGTCTGATCTTAGGTAAATAAAAACCAATAAACTAAAAGTTCGTAGAATTACATGTATTTGCCAAGTTTTATTGCAAATCGGTTCCCGGAAAGTGCGCGAAACCGTAATCATCCCCTAGTTTGCCACCCTTAGAGCTGGAACATTTTTCTTCAAATTTAAATGGGATACCCTGTCAAATTTAAATGGGATAACAATAATGAGGTACCCTCTTTCCAACAAAAAACGAATCATCAAAATCGGTTCACGAATTATCGAGTTATCGCGTAACACTAAAAAAAATACAGTCGAATTCAGAACCTCCTTTTTTTGAAGTCGGTTAAAACTAGTGCAATAATAAGATAATATTTACAAGTTTTGTTTAAATAAAACGTTGGGTGGCGTCTGTAATATATTTAGATATAATTATCAGAATAAAAAGTCATTAATTACAATCGTTGATAAATTATCGGTTTTAAAGTAGAGGCTTAAGATTACCTATCAAAGATGATTGGATAAAGTCTGCAATGTAAACAACAACAAAACAACTACAAAAGTTACCGGTAAAGTATTTAAAGGCGCGTTCCCATTATATCGTTACGACAGATATTCGTGCAGTTTAAAGTGTCGTGGCTTGTATATTGAAATGAAGTTGTTCACACATAGAACAACACGATTAACTATTGTTCACGACTTTTTGACGTTACGACGACAGACTGTCGTGACAATGGGAAGAGCTAGAACGACAGTCGTCAGACGATAAATAAATCGTCACAACAAAAATGTGAAGACAATTAATTGCAGCTTCAAACGATTCTGTCGTGCAAACGACAAGGCGGCTGCTGTGAACCGATAAATTGTCGTCACGATCTGGTGGGAACAGCTAGACACGACAATCGTTCAACGATAAAATAAACGTTCACGATACAGTCACGGCAGATAGTCATGGTATGGGAACAGGCTAGACTCGACAGTTATCCAACGATAAATATAACATTATGACACAATGGGAACGCGCCCTTGGTCGCTTAGACTCTGCAATGCCTGGGTAGAATAAACTTTGCATAAAGCCATTGGGCAAAATTTGCAAGGTTTAATTACTAGGCTTTCTACGGTTTGTATAGTTTTACTTACAATGGTCAGATTTTTATATTGCTAAATTAGCGGTGAGTGATGTAGAACTGCGCGGTTATCATGCATTCTTGCTTCAATTAAGCTTAAAAACAACATGAATGAAACTGTGGGCGTGTCGATACGGAAAACATCGACACGTCTTGGTATCGAATACCAGTGCCGGCTTTATCTATGGTCTCCAAAGACGCCTCGCGGCGTAAGCGATGTAGACGGGCCATTACTTTCCAACATCATTTATAATTGCACCATTTGCATTAGATATGAGCGCCGATAATAGACCAACGACGGCGGCGCGCCGACGAAAAAGTGTCGGCGACGACGGCATTTCGGCGGCGCGAGTGCGACCATGAAACGAATTTCTATAACGGTGTTTGTTTATACAAAAACGTATTGCATCGTTACACTTGCTATTTATATGCGATTGCATTGATGCAAACTCGCAACTGCATCGATGCAATCGCCTATAAATTCCAAGTGTAGCGATGCAATCGCGCGTTTATATCGATGCAATCGCGCGCTTGCATCGCTGCTTAAAATCGCGCGTGTGTAAAGTATACGATTAGCGACTGCATCGCGTTTGTATCGCGTTTGCATCGCTGCTAAAAGTCACCGTGTGTAACCGCTCCAAGGCGGAGTCCATTCTCCGAGGCTCTAGCCTTGATAGAATCTTCAAATGGTATTAATCATACTGTTATGGTGCTGGTGGCGTTCTGTAGACTGTAAAATAGCCTGGTCCAAGGGTAGTAACAGCCTCCACAACCTCCGCAGCCTCCATACATCTTACTTAGTAAGTTTAGCAATTCAAACGTTGAAAGTCCAGTTTATAGGTATTTATTCCGTTTTAACAATATTAATTCTTAAAATGTAAACGGTTCAAAAATAAGAAAGTAGATGTTTTCGCTACCGCGATCGCGCAGAGAGTCACCGTGTTACGAATCAAACTGAACGTGGAACAATTCAAATTTAAATACAAGCAAAAGAAAAAATGATACGATATAAAAAGGTGAGATGACGGTGTAAGGAGGTCACACCGTCACAATACTAATGTTCAGTAACACTCTATCGAAATTTCTGACATCGGCTGGTTATACTTGGAGACGGTCACCGCCCGAAGCTCTGTATTCAATTTTGCAGCTTGCTTTTGGGCGGTGATTGACTCAACCCTATATTGACTATAGCTTACATGTTTAGTTTTTGATACTATTAGTGTAAGTTGTATAATATGAATAAATGAATGGTGGCAAATAATTCGCCTAAGTCGAATCCAAGCACAATCATTCGAATCGGGTCGAATGATTTCCGATGCCATTCGGCCGAGTGTACGAGTCGATTTATTATTATGTCGGAACTCCACCAGGAACATTCACAATGTCCATATCAAAATATTCCTGTCCCCGTTGCATTTCCAGTATTTACCATAATGTTCTGATATTATGGTAAATACCGTAACCGGGGGCTAGGTGATCACGAGTATCGTTGTGCTCAATGGAATCTATGGATTAGTAATAAATGATCATTCGAATACGAAAATTAGTAAGTTACTAAATTAGTCATTTGAATGACAGGATTAGTAAGTAGTAACGAGTCGAATACCGAAATAATTCGCAATCGCGCATAACTACTATACCAACGTATATTTCTTTTTTTCTTAATAAATAGTGCTAGAGTTAATGCCAGAAACGCTTTATCTATTTATTCTTACTCATTGCACAAACTACAAAGAGATATGACTCATTGTATTAATGATAATACGGTACGGACGACTGCAGAAAAAAAATGACCGAGTGTGCACTGCAGGCAATTTTGTCAAACTTGTTTGATGGTTTATTTGATCGTTGGCAACATTGTTTGAAGAAAACCTAAAGTTTGAAGAACATATTTGACAAATTATTCGAAATTATCCTCCAAAATCTGCAGTTCGACACAGCAGAGTTCAGAGAGAAGTTCCGCTTGGGGAATAAAACTTTGGATGTTCAGGAAAGTATGTTCCAGAATTAAATCTTGCTACGATTAAGTGGATTATTCTTCAACTCACCTAACACCATGCTGAACGGCGAACGCTGCTGCCGCAACCACAAGTCATAGCACTTTGATGAGTGGAAGTGATACGTCACCGAGCACTTGCCATCCTTTGCCTGAAAAATAAGAAAACAACTCTATGTAATACATAAATTGGAATAGCCTTTATTCGCTGATATGTCGATGCAACGTACAACACTGACATGGAATCGAAGTCCAAAAATGTAAACAAAGGTGATGCCATTACAAAAAAAAAATTAAGAATAGTTGAAACGTGAAAAGGTCTAAAAAATGAAGCAAGATGTTTTATATTGTTTTCAAATTGTGTGCATGTGCAAACAAAATTAACATCGTTGTTATTTAATAAGATACGCTCAAAAACCTGATTGAAGTGGAAAGACTTTTATCCTATTGGCAATGTTTCGGGAGTGTTTCCCTTTTCATTTATTCGGAAATAACCTGTTAATAAACGAATAGGAAAAAAGTTTATGATCTATGAAATGTCACTTTGACAGTGACAGTTGTTTGTTTAATACTTAACATATATTGACCAACGGACTGTCAAGCAAATCGAATGAACTTCAACGTATGCAGTGTGCAGTGGCGCATAATTAATAATGCATCTATTTCACATGGCGCGAAGTCATATGTTTTTTATCGAATAGTCACCTAATAAGCTGCGTCTAGAGTATTGAACGCATGAAAATATATCGTGTGAACACCCCGCTGTCTCTCCGTTTATAACCGAATAGGTTAAAAAACGTGCAGGACAGTGCCGTTTGAACGAGGGCTACGCCAACTTTATTTTGTGGCTACTTTCTGTTATTTTATTTACTAATACAACTATAGTTATTTTATCGAAATTAATTTAGCGAAAAAAAAATAAAGAAACAAAACTCTAAAAAACAAAAGATAACAAGCTTTGGGGAAAAAAAGAAACAAAAAACAAAATTAAATTAAAAGTTAAATTAAATTGGCGTAGTGGTCATTGGAGGTACTGATATACCATTCCAATTGACGGGGCCGCGACTCGGAAATACGGCTGCGGCTGCGCGGTCCTTGCTCGCGAAAATAGCTCTTAAACTAGGTAATAGAAAACAGAAGCTCGTGCGTAACCATTGATATCTTATCAATCTTCACAGCTATTCAATATTGCTTGATAATTCTACACTTACAATGTTAGACGTATAAAATCATTATTCTACGAGATGAAGTGAGTTTACAAAAAAAATATTGAAAAATAAAAAAAAAACAAGTTAAATGTTTTCATCGAATTTAACTACCTCCGTGGCCGAACGGTTATCATGCTGATCTGTCACACTTAGGTTCCCGGTTCTACTCCCGGGCCGGGACAAATATTTTATTTCTCTCGTGAGTTTGGATGTAATTTGTGGTTATCTATGTGTGTGTGTTTGTGGCATCCGCGACACAGGGTTTCCCAAGGGGCTTTTGTATATTTGTTTTTTTTTTCAAATAAACCAATGTTTCGGGTTCTTTACAGGTACCACGATCGTCTAGCCAGCCGTGGCCACGAGTTGAGTGGAAGGAATAGTTTCAAATCCAATTTGTTTCTTTTTATTGAACTTAATATGAAAAAAATTGTCCTTTGCAGTACGCAACAGAAAGGCGCTTAGTGCGAATGGGTGGTACATCAACGACATAAGGATGGAGTGTTACGGACCTTCTAGTCGATCGAAGGAAGAACTGTGACGGTGGAACTAAATTGGAAAGTTCCAGCGCACACTCCCCGAAATATATCAGTGGATGGGTGTTGTTGGTTTCCCTGCTGAATCCGCCTTAAATCGGACCAGGCTTACTTTGATATCTTCTTTTCTTCAATAAAACTCCGTATAACGTTAATATTCCGGTTTATTGAAACTTAGGAAAGTGGACTGTATACATTTCCATAAAAAGTTATTTGAACATTCTATGTCCGTCTGACTTACGGGTTGACAAATCGAACAACAATGAAAAACGAATAAGAATGAAAGTGAATCAACAAATCTTACGTCTTCTCTTATACATATATACGGCGTCTCCCAGCGAAGAGGTGCCCTCAAGGAGGGGTATTGTCGCCTCTGCTGTGGAACATGGTCGTAAATGACCTTATCATTAAACTAAACAAAGAACATTTCTATACAGTAGGATATGCTGATGACATAGCTATACTGGTAACAGGAAACTATGCCAATACACTCTCCGACATTACACAAGCTGCTCTCTGAATTGTGGAAAGATGGTGCAGAGCATACGAACTATCGGTAAACCCAACAAAGACGGAACTAGTAATGTTTACAAACAAACGACTACTAGGTAACTACCGATTACCCAAACTCTTCAGCACAGAACTACAGATATCAACCCAAGTCAAGTACTTGGGAGTAATACTGGACAACAAATTGAACTGGAACAAACATCTGGACAACAATATTAAAAAAGCTAAACAATGGGGACTTTCACCCAAGATAACACTATGGCTGCACACTGCGGTGATAAGACCCATGATCAGTTATGGCGCGATAGTATGGTGGCCACGAACCAAGCTGACGACCGCAACCGACAAGCTGGAAAAATTCCAAAGACTCGCTTGCATGGCGACGACCGGCTGCATGAGGACAACTCCAACTGCGGCCCTCGAAGCGATGCTGGACCTTCGACTCCTCCCACTGTTCATCAGACAGGAAGCGGCGTCAACACCAGTGCGTCTAAACAGAGCCGGCCTTTGGTAGCACATGAGGACTCCACATACAGAAATCCTTTATAATACTGCCAATGAGGAACCGCTACTGGAGGCGGTTGTGGATAGGATCCCAAAACAATACATCTTTGACAAAAAATACAAGATACAATTGTTTGAAGATCCCAACGAAGGACTGAACCCCAGAGAGGTCCGAGTCTTCACTGATGGATCTAAAACAAATTCAGGAACAGGTACTGGGGTATTCTCAGAAGACCTCAATATCAGGATATCAGCACCGCTTCGTGACCACAACACAGTATTCCAGACTGAATGCATGGGCATCAAGTTGGCGGCAGAAGCAATCATAGCGAGAAGAGTAAAGAACTACTCCATTCGAATACTCTCCGACAGTATGTCAGTACTTCAAGCATTGAATAGCTATGACATAAACTCAGGGCTCATATGCGAATGCCATCAAGCACTCATGGAGGCATGTATATAGAACCACGTAACTCTACAGTGGATTAAAGGACACAGCGGTTCACGTGGCGATGACGCAGCAGATGAACTAGCCAGAAAACGGTCGGAGACGGACGCTGTAGGACCAGAACCGATAGTGTCCCTCCCCTGCCAATGGTCCAGAACAACTATACACAAAGGTACAAAATCTTCACATAATAATACATGGACCACCCTTACGGTTTGTAGACAGGCGAGGGAAGCACTCCCAACGCTCAATGCCAGTCTATCTCGAATAATAATTAAACTTAAAAGGCAAGAGCTTCGCACTCTAACTGCAGCCCTAACGGGTCATGGTCCATACAATAAACACCTTTTCAATTTAGGTATCACAGACAGCCCTCTATGCAGAGCGCGCATGGAGGGGGAGGAAACGGCTGCGCACATCCTACTTCAGTGCTCCGGCGTGGCCAACTACAGGGCAAAGTACCTTGGAGTGCCAAGGTCGCTCCCCGAAGTCTTCAGCAAACCAAGGAGGCTGCTGAGAATCCTGGAGGAGCTTGGGTGGCACGAGTAGGACCCTGCACCTACCAGACGCAAAATAGGCGCCTTGTCGTCGAGTTGCGGATATCAGCCCGTTGCACCAAGCGCCAAGTACGGCGTCTCCCACATCGCACCGGCCCTATCAAAGCGCCGGCGCTGCGGACGCCGCCCGGCCAATCAGAGTCCCTGAATTATTTACGTAATTCTACTCATATTGCTCTAACCGGCAGACGCGTACGGCCGTCCGTAACAGGTGTAAAATTAATGATTGACAGTAATTTAAACACTAAATCATCATCATCGTCAACCCATTAGTCAACCCACTTTTGGGCACGGGTCTCCTCCAATGAGGGTTGGGAACTTCACACGTTTTCCAAAGGCTCCGAACCTTTCTACGTGCAGGTTTTATCACAATGTTTTTCTTCAGCCAAAGGGCGCGTTCTCATTATGTTGCGTCTAGCCTGTTCCCATATCACGACTATCTATCGTGACTGTGTCGTGGACCTTTATTTTATCATTGAACGACTGTCGTGTCTAGCAGTTCCCACTAAATCGTGACGACAATTAATCGGTTCACGGCAGCCGCCTTGTCGTTTGCACGACATAATCCTTTGAAGCCGCGATTATCTGTCGTTACATTTTTATCGTGACGTTTTATTTATCGTCAGACAACTGTCACACTAGCTCTTCCCATTGTCACGACAGTCTGTCGTCGTAACGTCAAAAAGTCGTGAACGATAGTCAATCGTGTTGTTCTACGTGTGAACAACTTCATTTAAATATACAAACCACGACACTTTAAACTGCACTACTATCTGTCGTCACGACATAATGGGAACGCGCCCTTAGCGAGAGGTACTGCAACTAAATAGAATTCTCTCAGCAGACAGTAACTACAGTAGTACCTACCTACTGTAGTTACTGCCAGCTGGAGTTCGTCCAGGGAAGTAATTCTGCCGCCAAGCAGTAAGGTCAGCATTACGTTTCGTTTAAGGGTACAGGTGAAATTACAGGCACGTGGGGCTTGTCAACTTCTGTCTCAGAGTGACGGGTGAAGTGGCATTGCCCGTAACATTTTTGTTATTCAGCTCTGAATACTATTCAGAGCTCTGAATAGCACTGCAACTGTTATGGATACGCGTGTCGCTTGTTACCAGGCGCACGACTTGTTCGTACCGTCACTTGGTATGTACATTGTAAAAAACCAACTAATTGGCAATAAACAATTTAGAAAAAATATTAAGTATACAATTATTTAATATATTCAAATTGTTCAAGACAAAACATAAAAATATCAGAGACACTGATAAACAGGCACACAGGGCATAGGTCGGTATAATGTCATCATCCTACTTAAGAATCAAGCTCTTGTCGGTGTAGCTTCCTCCATTGCTCTCGGTTCATAGCCAGCTCATTACCCTCTTCACAAAATTTGGAACA